TAATTTATGAAACTGTACTTTTGTTTTTGTTGCAGCTCAGGAACTCAGAGGTCTTGGTTATAAGAAGGGGAAGCCTCATGGTCTGGTTGGAGTGACAGAACTATCTGAGGATCAGAAGAAACAACTCAAAGAACAACAAGATGTAAGAAAATGCAAACTGATTTGATTCTATGATGCTTCAACTATGACTCTACCCACCATTTCTCTCTTTTCACTTTGATGACTCTGATCAGCCACACTTTAATGTCTGGATTACTTCCTGTAATCTTTTTATTTACATTCCTCACTGTATATGTGATGTATTCTCACACACCCTGCAGATGCAAGAGATGTATGATCTGATCATGAAGCATAAGCGTGCGATGGCAGACATGCAGGTGATGTGGGAGAAGGCCATAAGGGAACACCAACATGAATATGACAGCGATGAAGAAGTGGACATGCAGGCAGGGACCTGGGAACATCGTCTCCGAAAGATGGAAATGGAGAAGACACGTGGTAAGATTGACCTTACCTTACCTTACCTTGAGATATTAAAATTAACAGTTACCCTTGCAATAGTGATACCTGATAATACCTTTTCAGTTGATCCGCTTGATACTTGCATTAAACAACTTCTTGTGTGTATTTTTCCAGAGTGGGCAGAGTCACTGACAGATATGGGTAAAGGGAAACACTTTATAGGGGACTTCCTGCCTCCTGAAGAGCTAGAGAAGTTCATGGAGACATTCAAGGCACTCAAGGTCAGTTTTCCTCGGTTTTCTTCTGTTCCACCAGTGAGATCGCCTCTGTCCATTAGCCTTCTTAATATTTGGTAGATGAACAAAGCAAAGGTTTTAATTGAAAGGAGGAAACCATCCCCGTAGTCTGCTTTTTTTATTATGTACAGTGGTTTTAGGTAATTTCACTAGGTCTGCAACATCCACCATCATCATCATCATCCATCCATGCCTCTATTTTCAAGCTGCTTCTCCGGGTCAGGGAAACTGGCAGCAGCCAGCAGAGCAACCCAGACGTCCCTTTTCCCAGCAAATTCCTTTAGCTCCTCAGTGATTCCCAGGAGGAGACTGTACTTGACACTTGTTTATCTGAAACTCTGTTCAAGTCAATTTGGCACCGTTGTAGAAAACCACACTTTTTGCCCTTCAAAGTTGAAGAGCAGCACAGTATGTAATCAGATTTTTATTTTTTAAGTGGGTTCATTGCCAGAGTCATGGGAAGGTATTCAAAATACAGTACCCACATAAGACCCAGTATGTAATTGTTAAACTACTACTACTAACTAGACTGTTTATTCAGACTTAACTGAAGAATAGAAGGAATTTTTGGCTTGGCTTTGTTAATATTACAGAAGCTCTTTTTATCAGAGAGGTATGTTAATTTTTCTTTATGAAAATAAAAGCTCTGTTATGAAAGGGAACTGTCTCCTTAAATTCAAATCCCATTTATTGCTGTTAACACGTCTCACCTAATTTCATTTAGCCTCTCTGATGGAAAGCATTGTGAATGATCAATATTTATAATTATTATACATTTCTTGACGAAAGAGCAGTAATGTTGAATAACTTTCAGCATACAATATACAGTCAGTACCAAATATGTGCATGAAGAAACCAAAACTTTATTTGTCTTGATTTGCAGGAGGGCCGTGACCCCGACTACTCAGAATACAAAGAGTTTAAGTTGACGGTGGAGAACCTTGGTTTCCGAATGCTCATGAAGATGGGCTGGAAGGAAGGTGAAGGCCTCGGCAGTGAAGGACAGGGAATCAAGGCTCCTGTCAACAAGTGAGTATCCGTCCACCCTCATTCTTTTTACCATTCTGCTCTAAAAAATATGCACATCATCTAATCATGCTGATGCTACGGAATTTTCCTTCAATTGCAAAATGTAAATATACTCAGCCAGCAGGACATGGTCCTGCGGCAGTAAGTTAGGGATAATAAATTTCACTGCCTCCAGGAAAACTTGGCTCTATAAAAGTTGAACAGTTTCTGTGGTATTCTGCGTACACCCACACCTTTCTGTCAAATGAAAAAATCTCCGGTCTAGATGTGCTACTAGAACTTTCTTTATTTGGCAAAAACAGGCATTACAAAGTGCCTCACAAAGAGAGCAAATGAAAACAAGAAAACAAAATAACAAAGGCAACATAATAAAACATAATTTAAACTCGAACATTTAAAAGTATTGGCAGAAAGAAAATTATAAAGTATAGCTGTTTAAAAGCCATTTGGGAAAAGTACGTTTTGAGAGATGATTTAAAACAGAAAGTGACATTTCAAGCCACTTACAATTGACTCACAACCTTTTCCTTAGCCGACCTGTCATGGACCAAAAAAATATTGATTTTAGTAAAAAAAAATGTCACCATTATTGATAGTTCTGTTCTGTTCATGTGCCCCAGTAAACAAGAACAATTTGATAAGAAGTCAGCATGAACACCAGGGCTGTGATCTAAAGATCAAAAATGTCCTTACTTCAAGAAAAGATGTGAAGGGTAATTCTTGTGTGAAATAACATTTATGTATGTTTGTATTTTGCTTGTTCTTAACATTACCCCCTACTGAATAGATATAGATAGAGTAGATGGAGAGGGGATCTATATTTATGGATTTTGGGTTCAACCAGTCGTACAAGGATTTAAGTTAAAATAAATAAGTGCTCTGCTGTTTCTACATTTATGCAGTTCTTCTGTTGTGTTACTGTAAATGTTGCAGCTGTTAGGAATTGAGGTACGGCATTACCTCCTTTCCTTTCATAGACGATCCAGTGTATCCCATGCTAAATGAGACAAGAAAGAAAGAACTCACTGAAGCATATTTCTTTAGTATTCATAGAATTTGTCCAGCTCTTATTGCTGCTGCCTCTTTGATACTTCTGGATCATTTCACCCATCGAGGAACCTTCCCTAACAAAAAGAGACTGAGGACCCATAAACTGAAGCAGCTAAATGGAAGCCAGGCATCTTCCATTTTATTATTTTCCCTGTGCTTTTCAGGCTGTGTCATGACTGGATTTATCCAGATAGAATGACAGTAACACCTATGTTTTGATAGCTCTTGAATAACCCGACGGACTAGAAGGTGGAAACTAATTTTGCATATCTCTCTGTCCCACTCCAGGGGAACTACCGCTATGAATGGAGCAGGTTTCGGAGTCGACCGTCCAGCTGAGCTCACGAAAAACGACGATGAATATGATGCGTACAGAAAGAGGATGATGCTTGCATACCGCTTCAGGCCAAACCCACTGGTAATTGGTCTTGTTGTTTTCTGTTTGCTGTGAATTTGCACCAGTTTATTGTGATGTTACAGATTATGTTATAAAATGTGTAATGGTTTAAAAACCCATGATTGTTCTTTGATAGAATTTTGACACTTATTCCTTTTTCCATTTTCTCTTTAATCAAGTGTTTCTTTTTTTTCTTTTTGCAGAATAATCCTCGGAGACCTTATTACTGATGCAGAGGACTGTTCTTGTTCATGCTTGTTCTTGTTAATCACAACAACACTGGTTTCTTCAGTTGCCACCACTCTAATACTTTTGAAATGGAAACCTTTGCACGGAAGAAATCTTGAAATGTGCCAGGTTAATAAGAATAGTCAATTGATAGATCCCTACATGTGACGTTTATTTTGGTTTTTAAAAAATGTTTTCTTTAAAAATTGTAATAAGTTTTGTCACATTTCAATGAAATACTGTCACAGCTTTAAATATTTAAAATGTAGTTCCAATGACTTCATTAATGATTTCATTCTTTTGTGCAACTATGTTCTCTTTCAAAGCTTGACTTGATCTTGCATTCCAACTAAACAAGTATACAAACTTATCTATGTATAATAGCATTAGGTCATTTTCATCACTGTGCTATGCATTTCATTTTGTGCTGCACTGTTCAAAATTAAAAATGGCCATTTGCTGATTTGTGTGGTGAAAGATTTGCTTTATCACACGTGGCAAACTGCACTCACCTGTTAATTAAACTAGGATAAAAATACATTTCATACACTCATAGGTATTAGTTCCCTTAATATACATACTTTTTTTCATCAAAATGAATGCATTATTCTCTGGGACATTGTGAAAACATCCAAAACACCTCATCTTTCAATGTTAAAGTAAAAAATAAAGAATCCTGGATCAACCCCCTGATCCATATCCACCAAATTGAATGGGTTCTTTCCTGACTCGTATTACATCCCCCATTCAGTTTATTACCTAACTGTGTACGAAGTGCAGATATTCATCCAATGCTTTTGATGCCACCAGTGTTCATTTCTGTGTGTCTCTGGTCTCTGAGCAGAGCTGACCTGGCTCAAGCAGCCAGCAGTGAGGAGGGTGACAGATCAGTGAAATCAGACCTTCACTTTGCCATTCCCCCGGGTAATTTACATGGGATAAATATAACTCCAAAATCCCAACTAAGCAGGAGCTTCTCTGGTGTTGGCCGAAGCATCAATCAAGAGGCAACTTCAGCCTCAGTCGCTGGTAAACCAAGACGGCGCTTGTTTAATGGCATGCTGAGGTTTTTGAGCTGGACATAGGGGGTGAAACCAATAACTTTTCACTTATGTACTAATCATTTGGTCCATAGAATATCATCAAATAGTGAAAAATGTGGGAAGCACCAAGAGATTTCATGTCTTGTTTTATGTGGAGCTTAAGCCAAAATATAGAAATAATCAATTTAGTATTTAATAGCATGAAGAAGAAAATGAAGCATCACATTCGAGAAGGGAATACTTATTAACCTGGTATTAAAATGTATTTAGTTCCCTTTTATATATCTGTAAATTGATTGAGGTTTAGTGTATTTGGAAGCTGAGGGAAAGTATGTGGAATGAAACGTTCAAATAAACACTTTCTCTCCATTACAGTGCTGATTATGATCAATATTCACATCTATGAAGTGAAACATCTTTTTAAAGAGCTGCTCAATATTATCAGATGACTCCATTAAAGTACAATGAGTGAAACCATGAGTCCACCGTTGACAGTCCGGTTCCTTCGCTGTGGAAGAGAAACTTTGATTTGACGCAGTAACGTATGGGCTGTCAGTGCCAGTTGGGGGGGAGGTAAACAAGATGGCGACAACCTGAGCGGTGAGAGTAACACGAAGAGTCAGAGGATTTCACTGTTATCCCGTCAGACCTCAGAGAAACACTCACTCCTCAGCGCACCGGCACGAACAGAGGGATTCAAACCTGCAGCGGAAAACCGACATTCATGCGGATCTAGGTGAGACCCGGTGCAGGGAGTTAGTTAGGTTAACTAGCTAGCTAGCAATTTACATGGAATCGGTGCGGCTTGCTAGCCAGCTCAACTCCGGTTAGCGAAGCTTGCATTAGCCGAGTTCACACGATTGTCTGTTGTCGGTGGTCGGTTTGGACGCTAGAGCCGATAAACGTGTTGCTGCTGGTTGAGCCTAATGCGGCACAGTCGGAGGATAATGTCCGCCTGGTCTCCGCTGCTCCACCGGCAAATGAGATGAAGTTGGCTAACGCTAATCTGAGGTAAAGTTGGCTAGCTAGCGCTGCATCCACCGTTAGCTACAGTTGTGTGACGCCGTTTGGGTTATCCTCCCTCATCCGTCCACATGCAGTCACCATCTGCATTTAATAAGCTTTCGCTGTTTTAACACAGTCGTCCATTTTAAAACCTGCAGTGCTCACTGAGGGTGTTCATACCCAGGAGCCGTAAAGCGGTAGTTTATGCTTCTAAGCCTGTTCATTCAGGCAGACGCGCTATGCTAGCTTGTCAGCTAGCTAACGATTAAAGATTTAAAAGATTATTTCTTCAAAACAATATACTTGCGAGTCGTATCTTACGCACTGTTGTGGTTAAATTAAAATGTTTATTTAATGGGAACTTAAATAAATGGAAATCTCTCGTTGTCTTATATGGAACTTCCACAGCAGAGAGGAAATCCAGTAAGGTTAACTCGTCCATGTTGATGTCTGGACAGATTGTTTACCCGAAGAGGGTTAAGTTAGTTCAGAGGCGAGCGAACCCCAGGTGTGTATTTCATCAATGTTTAAATGACCTTTTGTTTTCAGGCACCAGGCTGAAGGAACAGTGGTGGCATGGAGGACACCTGAGGACAGGTGGACACATTGGATGGCTCAGTCGCCCTCCAGGAGCCAGGCTGTTGCCGCTGCATGCGTTTGGCCGTAGATCTGTGCTTGGATCCAGTCCAGTTGTGCACACGTGTGTGTCCAGAGGAGAACTATTCTATGCAGCATGAAGTTTCCACAGAAATGCTGCGTGGCCTTGAAGCAGGGCTTGGCTAGAAGGTATTAAATTCATATTGAGGTGTCTGGAGCAGAGAAGAATTACATATTAGAATCACAATTTTGTCTCAACAGAAGTTCTCACAGATGTAGTACCTAATGCAAAGTATAAAACACTAACTTGGTACAGGACCCAACAGGTTGTTCATCTTTACCTGCACCTCCCAGCCCTAATGTTTACAAATTGGGATTGATCCCCCACCTCCTCCCTCAACTCTCAGACGGGATTACTCCCTCTTTCATGTTTAGTATTTTATAATTCCTCAGTATTGCATCTTGTGGAATTAAAAAAAACTCAGAACGGAAAAGTTACCAGTGGATTTCTCTCCAGCAGCAGTCATAGCTGTTGGCTGTCGAACTGTCAGTCATGAGTACCGGGGAGCTGCATCATCTTGACTATCTAAATGAAAATGAACTGATGGAAATGGATACTTTCATTCACCGCATTGACTCTACAGAGGTGATCTACCAGCCACGGAGGAAGAGGGCAAAGCTGATAGGAAAGTACTTGATGGGGGATCTTCTAGGGGAGGGATCTTATGGCAAAGTGAAAGAGATGCTGGACTCAGAGACACTTTGTCGCAGGGCTGTAAAGATACTGAAGAAGAAGAAGCTGAGGAGGATCCCTAATGGAGAAGCTAATGTGAAAAAGTAAGTTTTATTTATTTTTTTATTGTACATCATAACACCACCAGTGACGTTTTTTACCTAGAGGTGGTCAGTTATCCTGAGATACAGCAGCTCTGGCCTCACTGTAATGTTTGATCTTCCTGAGTTAATTAATTTGAACCAGCCCACTGAAAATCCAGTGAATCTTTCCATGCAATTGGGTTGTGTGGGTCACAATGAAAACGGCTGCTCAAATCTTTGCTATTCTCTTATTAACCACTACTCCCCTTTTAAACCTTGACCAATTAAACATCCCTATTGATGATAATGTTGATTAAAAGGATGTTTCCCCTGTTCTTACTCTGGAGCATGTGGTTTGGTTGGATGTGTTTTTGTTTTGCACCTGTAACCACACCCGCTAGTGATTGGAAATTACACTCATCTCACTCTAAATATGGTTCAACATCACTGCATTAAAAGTAAAAACTTCAATCACTGGCGGATGAAACAGTTGAGATGAAGGAATAAGAGAAATACAACATTCTAAATTGAGATAATCTTCTAAAATCCGTCATTTGTGTATTTTGTTTTACAGTGTTTATTAATAATCTCCCTCTCCATAAATATTCTGTCCTGTAAAATTCTCTAAAGGAACTTAACCTTTTTTCTTAACTGTATTGGTAGTACTACACCAACAACCCTCTATAATTAGATATTTAAATTCAATTTAAGTTAGAATTCATAATAAAGCTATAATATGAAATTTCTATCAGCAGTGTAGAACCTTAAGTTGTCAGACAGTTCTCAATTTGTCCTTCTATTCCTCTCATCTCTCCTCCTGTGTTTTCTCTGTGATTTAGCTGGTATTTCTATGTATTCAAAATTTTTCCCACACGTCCCATTTCCAGATTTGTAGCAGAAGTTTTAATCACACAGCAGTTTATTAAATATTACTCCAGCCTTTAGCTCTGGGCCTGTGCTAATTATAGAAGAAGCTTTAGAAAACTGTCAAAATGAGTTCACACAGAGAGAAAGAAGAGCTGCAAGATGGCGTGTTATTGAGGCCGCAGTTAAAACGGCAGCAGAAGAACAATGAAAAGCCTGCAGAGTCAGCTTACTGATGTTTTTTGGGGATTTCAGTACCTCATATTTATCACATATCCAGGCTAACCTTAATTAAGTCTATTTTAATGTATATACAGCGACTTAAAGTGTCACATCAGCAGCTGCAGCTCTGTCACACTCTGTCAGGACATCCAGGAGTGTATGTGAAAAATGGTGTAAAATATGAAGTCGAAAACAAAATTGAAACTTGGCGAGTTTCAGTTTCTGTTATGATGGTGTAAAATGTTACAATAATAAATAGGTGTTTACATTCCTTGAGATCAATAACTGAAAGATTTCCTGAAACACATTCTGTGTAGACAGGGTGTGAAAGATTAAGGGTAAACATTTGAGCAATGTCAGCAAAGCCATTTTCAGTCGTGTCCAGTGGAGGATCTCCAGAGAATTGAGTCCAAACTTTGTCCGCAGTTTGTCTTTCACACATGCACAACACAGCGGGAGATTCTCTTCAGAAGCATTCACAACAGCAACACATTCTCCACAGGACTCAGATGGGGAGTTGTGCAGCATTTAGAGGCAGGACATAACATATTAATTCCACTGCTGAGATCACGTTTGTTTGAGGCAATTTTGCACCAAATTTGGAGTGACATAGTATTCTCCAGGGAACAACCTGTTAAATATTGTGGAAAGGGTCGATTCAAGAATTCTTTATTTCTCAAGACTGACATTCTTATCAATTTCTCAGGAAAAAATGTGGATCTTGATGGAAAGAATCAGACATTTATGGTGTTTAGATCTTTGTTGATTATATATATATATATATATATATATTATATTATCTACTTGCTTTTTCCTTTTAGTGATCTCTTGGAAGAGCTAGAGAGACGTGTAGGGTTGTTTGGCCTTGGAGGAGGGAGGTATGCACAGTACTGAAGGCCATTCTTGTTAAATTTTTCTTATAGCTTCGTAGCAAGAATATACAATTCCTTTGTGAAACTACTGTTGAGAACAACAGACAACAGGGGTATTTTTCAGTCAAAACCAAAAAATATTGCCTGCTTCAGTCTCTTTACAAGACACATGTTAATCCTAATTGTGGATTCTGTTGTTGAGGTAAAGAACCCAAAATATTTCTGAGATGCTTGGTGTCAGTAAGGACGTACATAAAAGAGTCCTTGTCGGTAGGTCCTGACTCTGATCAGGGCTTCAGGGTTCCATGGCTCGGCGGGTCAACACTGAGCATGAAATAACCACTGCTTTAGAGAAAACATCTCACATGACAAGTAAAATAAAGTTTAGTTTCTTCATCAAGACAACAACCTAAACATAAAGCTAATGCTACACAGGAAATGCTTAAGAGAACTATTTTCATATCACAGAATTGCCGAACCCAAGTAAGTACCTTATTCCAACCCTGAATGAACTTAAAAATTACTCTTGTGTCACGGTCACCTATTATGACTTGACATAGTTGGAGCAGTTTTGCATAGAAGAATGTTGAGAAACGTCCTTGTCCAGATGTGCAAAGCTGATACATACCTCTAATACCTTTTTTATCTATCACCCTGAACTTGCCACTAATATTTCTCGGGCCATAATATTTCTATTTTCCCCTGGGTGACAAGGTGGTCTGGAGTTTGTTTTTTAATCCCCTCTATAGTTTTAGTACACCGCAGTAGCTGTAGACTACATGGTTGTATCACTTTGTTTAGAAGACCAAAGCAGTGTTCATTGATGTAAAAAACTGGTTTTCACATGTTCTCTGTGCTGCTTCACTTTTCTTTGTCTCACTCGGTGGAGCCCGTATGTTTTCCATTCTGAGGAAGCTGGATCCTCGAGCGTCAAAAGCCTGCCTGTGTGTGGATGCCATAGTAGTACCCAGCCTTCCCATTCAGCCTGTGTTCAGCATTCCTGTCCGCCCTGCTTTTACAGGGTTGCTGTGGAGACTTGGCGTGCTCATACAGGCATTGATTGATCGAGCAATGCCACTTGTGTTACTACGGCAACACCCCAAGAAAGCCGTGCCCTTGTTTGCAATGACAGGAGCGCACATGGGCGAACGCACATACCTGACAAAGACTGTGAACCAGCATAGTGTAGATACAGATCAGTTGTTGCTGCCATATCTTTGTTGAAATCCTCTGAGCTCTGCAGTCTGTGGGCCTTGAACACAAAACATCCATCTGTACACTTTTGAACTCAGACTGCAGAAGGACTGCAGCAGTTACTGCCTTCAGTGGCAGCGCCTCCTCTGTTTAGTGGTAAGTTTTATGAAAACAGGCAGTGATGCAGATGCAGGGTGGTTTGCTTCATCTCAGGTGTGTCATCTGCTCTTAGCTGACTACCAGAGATATATATTTTGAAACGGGGCCCTACCATATTGTTGTAGCTCTGTTTCTACGTGTGCATGAGGCAGCAGTGTCTTTTTTTCCAGTGCAATGATGCAGCAGTAACTGTGCGTGTGTGTGAAATACAGACACAGCCCAGAATCTCCATCAGTCAGTAGGAAGGTTGTGTTTAAGGAGAAGTATTGACAAAGCACATAAACTGCAGGGTGATATGGGACAGAGAGGCTCCAGTGTGTTTTTGGGAGATTGTGCTGAAATATAAAAATGAAGATGGATGATACCTCAGCACTTCTGGGGCTCCAGGAATTTAATTTATTTTTGACTCAGACCCACTTCTTTTTATAGGCTTGACTTGTTATTGCCTGATAGATTAAATCACATGCAGACGTAGGGGAGAGTGGTTCATGCAGGAATCAACATTTTTATCACCTACAATTCCATAAATGTTCAGAGGACAAGAATAGATCGTGTTTTATTGTCAGAGACAACTGCTGTGAGTCGTGATGTCAGATATAGCTGCAGCGGTGCTGCTAACTATGACACCATGGAGGAGGGAAATTAATTCAGTGGAGCATTTCAATTTTATGATCTTCCAAGCAAGACATAACTTAGCAGGGTAAAACTGTGTTCAGGTTTGTACGGGCACAGTTTTCAGGATCTTACCTCAGTGGGGTTTGTTTTAAGCATATATGTTCTTTAAAATGTCTAAATGCAGCTAGACCTATGATATATATACTATGTTGACTTTCATACTTACATTATCCAAAATGTTTCCCCAAAAAATCCCCAGATTTAGATCAAGGTTACTGGTCATTTCATTTAGTTTGCCTTATATTTGCATCATATCCACTTTACCTGTGGCTTTGCCCGGATGACAGCTGCGTTATTTCCTTCCACTGTTTGTATTGGTCACTTTTAATCGATCATGATTATTCATTGCGGTCTGTTGCATAACATGAATAAAACTTGCATTACCTCATTTATGAACATAATAAGGGCCTGAGTCACATCGGATAGATTTTCATTGGCAGTGGTGGTGAAATCAGAGATCCCTAATGGCCATAGTTTCATATTGTACATTTAATAAAGGTTTACATTTTACTGTTTCTTCTCCACTGAAATATTTAGCTAAAACATTTACAGAGAATTAGAAAAAGTTAGGCTGATAATGCAGAATAATGCACTATAAACTAGACTATAAAAAAGTCAGAATTGAGACAAACTGTAATATTTCTTCATACTAACTTAAACTTGCAGTATTTCCTCTGTGTGGGTGTGGGTATTCTATCTAGGAGAGTTTGTTCTTTGTGCTCTTTCCATCCACATCCCATTTCATTAATGTCCCCACTCACAGCTCCCTGATGAATGTTGAGTCTCCTGGGGGCTTTGCCACGCTGCTGATTTGAACCTATCCTCCTTGGGTAGCTAAGTGAACTGTCAGCTTATCTGTCTTTATAATGAGACTGGTGTAATTGACTGCTGCAGCACTTGTTCACCGGCCTGTTTTAGAGTTGGGCTTTACTGACAAAGTCAAACAATATTTACAACATGTTCCCTCAGTAGATGATGATCTCTGACCAAATGCTAGACTGTATTAAGCTTCACCGAATTTTGAATAAACATGTGAACAGTTCATTGTGCAGCAGTGGTGATGCAGCGTCAGGGTTCTGTGGGTCAGCAGGTCTTTCAATTACTTGACATTTGCAGTTCCAGAAAGAAAGTCATGACCAGCATTGTCACAGGCCAAGCAAACAGCCCATTCTAAACAGCCGTGTGTAGAAGGTGTACTGCACTCGGGATGTCTAAATGACAAAACTGATTTAAATTGCATAGTTCAAGAAACTCCACATTATGAGAAATGTCATTAATGAAACAGTAATGCATTTGTTGTCATGCTAGCAGTGTTATATTAGTGATGGTGTGCTTTTGTTTGACATTCATTTGCCCACTTAATGTTCTAAATGTATTTTGTGCTTTTATCCATTTAAAGGGAGATTCAGCTGCTAAGAAGACTCCAACACAAGAATGTGATTCAGTTGGTGGATGTCCTCTACAATGAAGAGAAGCAGAAAATATATCCTCATGTTGCTCAATGAATGTGCATATAAGTATTTTATTTTTGATGATTAATGATTTCAGACAGTAAATGTTGCTATTTGTGGCGGTTTTAATTATTGCTAATTATGTATTTTTTGTTAGTGACCAGCTTTAGAATTAACTCACATTATTAAAGGATGTGTTTGTTGGATTTGGCAAATCCCCCTTGACTCCTGACTCACGTATATGGTGATGGAGTATTGCGTGTGTGGGATGCAAGAAATGCTGGACAGCGTCCCAGAGAAAAGGTTTCCAGTATTTCAAGCTCACGGGTAAGTCTCTCTCTTTTTCTCTCGCTCTCTCTGCTATATTTAGTCTGCGCCTCTGCAGCCTTTGCTCCAAGCCTATGTTTAGATGCTAGACTGCAGGGCTTCGACTGTTAAAATAACTGACCAAAGATTGTGTGAATGTCTGGTTGCTGCTGGAAAGACGGTGAAGCAGAAGTGACAAATGATGAAGGTTCATCTGACCACAGGCTTGATGTGCTGATTGTTTCTTTACATCCTATAATATGGAACACTTTCCTTGGTTTTTCTCTCCTTGCAGGTACTTTTGCCAACTTTTAGATGGCCTTGAATATTTGCACAGCCAGGGAATAGTTCACAAAGATATTAAACCAGGGAATCTGCTGCTGACCACAGACGGGGCACTTAAAATCTCCGACCTGGGAGTAGCAGAGGTAAGCTCAGACTACAGGATAATGGTGTTTGCTAAACATGAATAGTTTTTTTCCCCTCATTACTACCAAATCTTGGGGAAATAAAAAACAATTTGATAGTGGCTTTATAAAACTAAAACTCATAACTGTGTGGCCACAGGCAGCTTTAATACACAAAAGCAAAAGGTGTACTTTAAGTTTAAGTCCATGGAATTTATCTCCGTAGAAACTATTTCTATGTTGGTTTATGATGCTTGAAATAAATGCCAACTCAAATGGAATTTACATTAGTGTGTAGATTTTGTATTTTGTTTCTGAGTATTAGTGTTTCTATCTATTGGCAGTAGTGGATGAGTGTAACATTTGCTCGTCCATTGTCCAGTTATTTCATGATTTGGTGGAGTTGATATAAAGAAAACATTGAATGAAACTCATACTTATCATATGCACTGCATTTTTCAGGCCCTTCACCCATTTGCTGAGGATGATACATGTCGCACTAGTCAGGGCTCTCCGGCTTTCCAGCCTCCAGAGATTGCCAACGGACTGGACACCTTTTCAGGGTTTAAAGTAGACATTTGGTCTGCTGGTGTAACACTGTGAGTTGTCATTGACAAAGTTCCCAGGGAATGCTTTACATTTTCATAAAAGTGTCGGTTATAAGCAGGAGATTAAGATGTGAAACTATAACAGAGAAAATGTAATATTACTTCAATATTTGTACCACGATCAATAGTAACAATTGAATACATTAATGGTAAAACAAGGCTAATATCGTCTTCAGATTGGGATATTGACGATCACTCCATCATTGATCACCAAGATCTTCTATTATCTATGTTGATATAAATACATTTTACTTCTCAAACACACAAAAAGAAACACCTCACATATTGCTGTTGTCCATTTACTTGTCATATTTTAATGTGACTATAGATACATTACCTTTATACCCTACTATAGTGTAGGAAATTAAGAGCAACACTTCATGAAAGATAAACTTGATTGTCAAGTAGTGGTGCATGTAAGCTTGTTGTACTGTTAGTGGGTTCTGCGATTAGATTTTAAAGAAAAGTCAAAGATAATCAGAAAAGTATATCTGAACTCATATACAGTTGTTTTGATATGCGTCAGATCTGTTTGTTGACACCTGCTTCTTTCCATTCAGATACAACATTACAACGAGTCTGTATCCATTTGAGGGGGACAACATCTATAAGCTATTTGAGAACATTGGAAAAGGAGACTACACTATTCCTGAGGAGTGTGGACCGCTCCTGTCAGACCTGCTGCAAGGTTGGTGTTGTTCACAGCTACATCTTTTTCAGGAGAAATTGAACTTCAAGGTTGAGGTGTTGGCATGGTTACTATCTCCTGAGTATAGCTCTGACTGTGTCAAGCATTTTAAGTGTTTGAACAGCTGTAGCAACAAGATTTGCTCTTGCTATTTTTGTGTCTCATCAAAATATATTTTACAGAATATTCTGTGAAGAAACTGAGAATGAATTGTCTGGGTAGCCAGTGAGAGCAAATCACAAATCCCTGCTAGTTTCTCTCTGATCTTTTCTGCATGTGTCCAGTAGGTGGTGCCGTGACATTGATAGTCGCTGTGACTTCTCAACCGGGAAGGCTTCCTCCAAACTGTAGAAATCCCTCTAGCTGCTGACGTAGTTTCCATTGATCTTGAGCCAGTAGCAGAATACTAAACACATCATAGTGAGGCTTTGCTTCCCTGGAGTGGAATGCTGCAACACTTATGCCTTCGAAAAAACTAAAAAACACAAAGAATCTTTTTACAGTTGGAAATAATCGGCTCCATGGCAGCAAACAAACTGCTTGTAAAATCCAAAAAGAATCCAAGGAAGATTATGTTTGTAGCAACTATGACACCCAGTTAATAAAGACCAGTTAATGCCAGCTCTGCACACTGTCCTTTTATGGAACTGAACCCAGCACACACACAATTCACCTTTATTCAGCAGATTTGAAATATCTTGGAATCAAATGTACGTTTTTTTTGGACTAATGTCTGCATGACGGTTAATCAATTGTTAAAACATGAAAAGAAAAACCTGTTAAAATTCATCAGTCCTCCATCCCCCGCTCTGTGTGAGCGCGTGACGTCTGTGTGTGATGACGCAGCACCTGAGAGACACTCACTCCATAATTACATGGTCTAAAATAAGCCCAGTGCCACAAAAGGTGTCCTTCAGCAGGCGCAGCACTACTATCAGCACTCTGCATGCTGCCCTGCTCTGCCTACTGGGAGACAATTACATTATTAGGTCTGGATAGGCACTGCATCACTGCCGCCTTATCACACCAACACGCTGCCGTTACCACCGAACCAGCCCACATTATGATAATAGAGGCACAAAATCATCATTACATTGTTACAGCTGTTCTCTTACTCGTATTGATGTTTTCCTACTGTACCTCATTGACTCCTTAAGCTCCGCAGGACACCTCGACACATGGTGATGAATTAAACTATTAATCACCTTAATTAGGGTTGCTCTCCACTGTGAGCCGTCCCCCTCAAAACTCTGCAGAAAGAGATGTGAGTGGAGATACTGTTCTGGGTGGTTGTGATTAAATGAACCTTTTATGATGTGTGTGTGTGTTGTATGTGTGTTTTTATTTCTTTTTCAGGGATGCTCGAGTACGACCCTGGGAAGAGGTTTTCCATACAGAACATTAGGCAACACAAGTGAGTGATTCAGCACATAAACCCTTTGTCATTTATCCCATAATGGATGGAATATCCTGTATCCTGCTTCTACTTACATATTCCTGACCTAAAGTAAGTGTCTAGGAAACATACTCAAAGGTTGATCTGCCCAACCCCTCTGTCTCTGTCAGCTGGGTGCGTAAGAAACACCCTCCGTCTGAGCCCCCTGTGCCCATCCCTGCCAGCGCAGAGAGCAGGGACCCTTGGCGGAGTATGACAGTGGTGCCCTACCTGGAGGACCTGCACGGCTACACAGAGGAGGACGATGACGACCTCTATGACGGAGAGGATGAGATCATATACACTCAGGACTTCACAGTGCCAGGTAAGTGTGAGCTCATGCCACTCTTACAGTGTTTACTATGTGTTAAATTTGTTTTCTTTTAGGACATGGGGCAGAATGAGAGTAATCAGTGATGAGTTAATGTGTTTTGTGTTTTGGTTAGTCCTCTATTATTTCTCTGGTCTGTAAATGGTCATGAACATTTTTTGTCTGTATTGTTTCATACATCTTTGGAACAATGTCCAATAGTGATTTTTTTTCTTCTTCTTAATGTGTAAGATTGTACACTGACAGTGAGGTGAGAGAGCTTCTCAGAATCCTGCACATTTGAGACATCGAACATGAGTCACCAGGTGGAGAAAACAGGCAAACTCCTGTTTGAACCTATTTAAGAAACGATGTATCAGGTTAAGCTATATTGAAAAGCAGCACGATGACTGGTTCAGTTTCTCCACTGCTTCCTCCACTGAAGTTTCATTGTGAACAAAGTGGTTTGAATGATTGAAAAACACTTTGATTCTTAGTCATCAAAAATCTAAAAACATCTATGTGTTTTTATAATGTCCACCATAATTCAGCAGTTTGCAGTTATCAGCTACTGTGTTTGTACCTGTTTGTTAGATTATTTCCACAGTATAAAAACGGAAACTGCCCCTTCACCTTCTTAAAACAGGAGACTTCTGACACAGGTGACATTTTGTCCCTTTTGACATTTCAAGCAAACAAACTCTAAATCTTTTCTTTAATAGTTTTTTTTCCTGAAATCTTTCTAGTAGTGGACGTTAACAGCATTTAGTGACTTGAGGATGAATAGATAATGACAGAATCCTTATGTCTGATTTCATGTCTTCCCCAACTCTTTTATCTTCCCCCCAGAATTCACATCCTTTATCTGTTGCTAGGCAACAGCCAATAATAATAAATGCAGTAGTCAGTGTTGGGTATCTAGAAGTGGTGCCCCACATAAAATCCAAATGGAGCTGCAGAAAGTGAATGAAGCAGTTCTAAAAATAGCGCTGTTGAAATGGTTTTGGTGTGGGAGTATGAATGGGTTTCCAGTGCTCACTCCTACACTTGCTGAGCACCGTCGCTCACAGGATGCTTCCTCTCAATGAAGCAATCTGGTGATGTGGTACATGTAACAACAGTTTGTGTATCTTTTTATCTGTAACTACATCTCACAGTGTAATATCCTCCACAGCGTTACAGGGTTGAAACTCATTTGTCGTTTCACATGTGCACACACATGTGCGCTGCACTTGAGATTCAAATGTTTGGGTTTATTTTCCACTCATCAGATTTCCTGTTGTAGGTTGGCACACGTTATCTAATCTGACATTTTGCTGCTGCTGACAAATTAGCTTTTTAAAGGTCATTTCTTGAAAAATAGTTTTACAGCAGCAGGTCTGTGGTGATTTCCTCCAATGTTATCGCCGACATTGTGCCCGCTCATGCCTTAACCTCTCCTACGATCAATAAAGCTTGTGTCAGCAATTGTATGGAAGTGTGATGAACTGGTCTTGGCTCTTATATGTGCGTGTGCTCCTCTAGGACAAGTGACCGAGGAATATCGGGATCAGGGGAACACAGATCACAGTCCAGCTGTAGCCAAGCCAGTTTGTGTGAACGGGACAGAGGGGGGTTCCCTGAACAGCAAGGCCAAAGCCGAACGCCGCTCCTCTTCGTCATCCAACCCCTCACGCAAAGGAGTCTCCACAGCCAGCAAGATCCGCAAGCTCTCCACCTGCAAACAGCAATGACCCCATCCTCCCTCAGCAACAACCCACCTGGTGAGTGCAGACTGTTAAAAGCTGGTGCCTCTGAAGGACACCTTTAATACAGAACATGGAGGGGACAGATGAAGATAAATGGCAATGCAGAACAGGTGCAGCAGATTCAGATGAAAAGATTTTGAGGGGTGAAATGAGAATGTGTTAGAACAATCACAGACGTGGAGATGAGTATCGGGCAGGAGGAGGAGAAGCAGTGGAAGAGAAAATCATGCAGGAGAGAGAATCTGTGTTGATATTCACCAAGCAGTGCTCTGACTCATCACTGCTCCACACACACACACACACACACACAGGCGCAGTCATAAAAGCTAGATCTGGACTGTTCCGGTCTTGGAGCATCACTTTTCTGTTTGCTGCGAGGGGGTTTTTTTCGATTATATCCCTCTGCGAGTTCATCGTCGGACCTCATTCAGGTGCAGCAGTGGGGGTAGATTTATCCTGCAAGTGTACACACCAATTTAACAGGTTGTCCTCCTCTCTTTTCAGTCACCACCCACAGCGTGCTCTTTCAATCTCGCACATACAAACCACTCACGTCAATTTGTCATGGCTGCAGTGCAGAGGAGATGCTGTGTATTAATTTGTTCAGGCGATGACTCACCCTGGATGAGATAAAGTGAGCTGGGGGGTGTTTGTCTCTCTTTCTCACACTGTGGATGAGTCTCTGTGTGTTAACTGCACCAGTACAGTCTTTGTACACACAGTCTGTATATTTTGTCCAAAATTGTGGCACGTTGAATCTTACACACCAGCTCCGAAACCTTCTTCCGTCAGTAAATTGCTCAGAACATTTTCGATTTGCTGCATTTTTTTTTTTGCATCTGTCAAAGACAAAGGAATTTGTTGTCTTGTTTCTTATGTGCACTTCCAGTGTTGCCAGTAGAGTATCAAGACCACTGACATCCTGAAATGGACTTGGAAGTGATCAGGATAATTTGCTGCTCCTTGATCAGAAGATGAAATTCTGCTTTTTTTTTACTGTGGGACTGCCAGTATTGTTTTTAAGAAATGAGATTACCACAAAATCTTCCTCACTTCTCCTACTGCGAATCTTCAGAACAAGCAGAATAAGAAACGTCATCTGAGTCAGTGTGCAACGTTTCTTTGTATGAATTGGATTCGAATTTTAAAAGGCGTATGATAAATGGTATGCAAGGGCTGTTAAATAAACTAAATAAATTAATCTGTTAATACTCTGTGTCTGTCTCTCTCAGGTTTACCTGTCCCCTTCCTGTGTCTGGAAACCTCACAGTTGGAAACCTGCTGACGTTAATGTCCCCGTACCTCCTCGGACTGCTGTTCTCTTTTGAAGATGTGGTATGAGTGACAGGAAGAGGACAGCATGAAATGTTCTTTTTGCTCTGAGACTGAGACACTGGCTGTGAAAATAGATTTTTTTTTTCTCCCATGTTTTGGCTCCTTTCAGCTCCTGTCATCCGATTACCCCCTACTCTCCATCCCATCAGCCAAGTGTTGCACCGGATATTACAAACCCCATCACCCCCCTGTACCCCACCTCAACACCCCACCTTCTGTTCCTTTGACTACCTTTGTTTTTACAGATCCCTAATGGCAGTTTTTAAGACACATTGTGATGTGTAAAATTAAAGCGAAAAAAAACCCTAAAGTTATGAATAATTCTATATTTAAATCTGTGATGAGAATAATTATGATAGTACTCTACTACTACCAACATAAAAACTGCATGCTGTACAGAGCTGGATGAAAGGGAAAGTGTTTGTGGAAAGGCTGACAGACTGAAGCCTTGAGATCCACTGCTGACCTGTTGGGGGATTTTTGATTTCCATTTAGTTTTTTGTTTTTTTCTTTTTTCCAATGAATATTTTTTAATTATTATTTATATAAAATATGTCCCAAACAGGCCGTTTGTTGAATGGTCCTTCCTGTTTAACTTGAGTTCAGCCTATTTTCATTATCCAATACAACTCAGTGGTTTATGTCCTGTTTATTATTTACGTGTCCTTTACAAGCACACACTCTACATCCGTCTCTGTGATGTCTGCGACCAGCTTGTTGTCAGAACCGAGAACATCAAGAGCAGATGCTGCTCAGCTGCAGGAGGTGTCGTCACGATCGCCTGTTTTCCAGCGATGCTCTTTGTTGTGCCCATCACATCAGCGGGAGCTCTGCCCCCGTCTTACGCAGCCAGGGCTATCATCAGCTCCTCGCTGGGAATAGATCAGAGATCTATCAGGTGAGTCACAACTCCGAGGGAGGGAGAGAGCAAGTGCTTCCCACGTCAGCGAGGTCCACAGAGGTTCTCCGCTAGGCAACGCACAAGCAGGGAGCGGCGTGTAGAGGATGAGGAGACGCCTCGTGTGAACAGGCTGCAGAACATTTCAGCAGTGTCAGTATGTGAGGACACAGGAGGTTCTTAAGGAAGTGTTGAGGTGTTTTGGAAGTTCTGCACAGTACATCGGGTTCTTTGAATCACATTACGTCAACCCCCCCTCCCACCATCAACAAGGCTGCAAGACATTTTTTTCTGCACGACTTGTTTTATAATAAAGCAGATGGTTCACCACGAATAAGACAAAGACACGAGTTTGATAAAATACATACATGAACTGCAGCTTTGATCAGAGTGTGGAGGAAAACAAAAGGACAACCTGCCGACACAGTTTCCCAGGTGACGTTCTTCACCTCATTCAACATAAATGTAAACTTCACATCCACACTGGAAGTCTCGTAATTGTCATTACACTTAAAAAGCTTCAAAACGATGAGTCATCTCCCGATGAAATCATCTGCAACAATAAATATATTTGTTGCTTTACAAAAAAATTCTCTGCAGCAGTTTCCTAATTTTGATGAAGCCAATTGTCAATTGAAAACTCCACTATTCTTTGGTTGCAGTTTCTTCGGTGTGAGGATTTGCTGCTTTTCTCCTGAAGAGTTTTAAGTTTAGCATTGGTGGGTTAAATCAAAATAAGCGAACACAAGAATCACTTAAAGTTGGTCCTGAAAATGTCCACATTTGTCAACTGTTTCCTCACAGTGAAGAAACTCCATCCTGAGCTAGACTGAGATGTGCATGTGAGCTTACAACCAAAAATCCTGTCATCCAATTAGCTTTTTACTGTCAAATAAATAATAAATAATTTCCCCGCTTGGGCATTTTTGACACATTTAAAATAAAATCAAGATAAATGAATCAATGTAGAAGATAATCTGGTTGTTGCTCTACTCCAGATTTGATCCTGAAATGTGAAGAGTACTACCTTATATTTAAAAAGTCCAATGTCACTTTTATACCCTGTCCATTGTTCTTAGCCTTTAACCTATTGATTCCTACTGAAAATTTTAAAACAGAACACAAGCGTTTACTAAAACACCTGGAGACTGTACATTTTAACAAACTAGTGCATTTTGCGGGAGGGGCTATTTTCAGGATTGACACACATTTCATGTTCCAGTGGATGTTCATGAAACTGAAGCACTGTGGCTCATTAATGTGTTTTAATCATTTCTAACAACAATCAGCCTCTATGGCACAAAGTAACAAGTTATACAACACTCTCCTTATTGTTGGTTTGTGTGATTCCACAGGATTTGCTGACATGACCAAAAAAATATCCTCAGACTTATATAAGTATTTTCCATTCTTTCGGGATTCGGGAGCAGACGACACCACTGCTGTTCAGTTTTCGACCTCCGCTTCTCCGTCACTGGACCAACTGTGTAAAAAGCCTGAGAGGCTCCAGTATCAGTCACTTAAAGTATCATCTGTCAGTCTCCCCCACATCAGCAGAGGCCCAGCAGTGACACAACACTCCAGGATGCATAACAGGGACAGATGACTAATAACAAACCAGAGTCTGTATAATTATAAAAATGCTTGATGCATGTATTCTCAAGTGCTGTGTTGGCGGTATAATTTGGGTTTCCCATCTGTTTTTACGTTTATGATATAGTGATCTCCAGATCGGCTGATCCTGATGAGGTGGTGATGAGAGAGAGAAGGCTGCAAACACAAAACCATCTAGAGTGATGTCTTTTTGTTCCTACAGGGTCATTATTGTTCTTCCATTAGCCGACACAGAAGCTCTTCCACACACATCCTCATGGTGACTGAGACGAGAAGGACACTTGAGGAGGAAATAGTTTAAAAATGAGAGAAATGGGTGACAGAAACGCAATCATTATCTTTCTTCCCATCAAAGTGCTTTTTGTTTTCAAGTTCAAACTGTACAGTATACACATACACATTGTTTGGACATACAGTAGCATGCTGGAAATTCACAGTTGAAAATATTAACTTTTTCTAAAGATGGGTCTTTATTTTCAAATCTACGTAATGAAGGATGCATTTGATCTGAGGAGCGGTTACCAATAAAAAGGGCATCACATGTCACATGGTGTCACAGTGGAAATTAAGGTCTGAGAGGAATCACTGGAAGAGACTGGCCATTGAGAAAGTACTTCTTTCTTAAAATATATATATATACTGTAGATGTGCGTGTTTATTGTACACATATCTTTGTGAGGACTACTTTTGACCCTCTTTAGATATTGGGAAAGAGAGAACATTTTGGTTTGGTTAAGGTTAGAGGAGGGGGCCTAGGGGATGCATTATGCCTATGAATGTCCTCAATGAGATAGAAGTACAAAGTTGTGTGTGTGTGTTGTGTGTGCGTCAGTTTTCAGACCATATTTATTTTAATGAATCGTCGCAATGTAAGGAAAACTGAGAATGACCCAGTATCTAACACATGATGATGTTTGAGTTGTTGTCGACTTTGTTTTCAGTCTGGTCAACACAACGGATCTGATATAAAGATGATGAGGGAGATGGCGGTGTTGGCAGGTTATATGGGACTGAAGCCAGGTGAGGACGTGCGAGACACGGTAAGCACGCGCTCTGATCCTCCCTGGCTGAGTTTCTCCGCAGTGCGCAGGCCGCCGTAGAGCCTCTCCTCCACTGACTCCACCAGCTTGTCAGACAGACTGCCTTCCTCCTGCAGGGAAACCTCTGACAGGATAGCTTGACTACTGTTGTTGTTCCTGTTGTCACCTCTTGGATCCATGTAGCTTGTTTGTGCAGTCACAGTATTCAAAGACTGGCTGGTTGTGCTTTCAGAGACTTGGCAGCCATTGTCTTCTCCACCCGACCCTGCCAAACTAGAGCTGCTCCTTTTTTCATCTGTGCCTTCAGATGTTTTGTTGGCTGCCACTTCATCACTTGATGGAACCTTGTTCTCCACATTCTCTTTGGTTGCCTCCTCGCAATCTGCAACCTCACTGGCTTCTTCGTCGGCAGCACTTGCAATGCGTGAGAGAGTGCTGTGATATCTGGTGTCCAGAGGGTATCCGGCACTGTCACCCCTTCTCAACGGCGTAAACCTCTGCCTCTCTAAAGAAGGGGAGTACCTACCCCCAGTGCTTGACCCTGGGTCGCTGTATTGCTTGTGTCTCTGCCATTGTTTCCGAAGGTGAACTCTGGAGCGGTGCCTGGAGCGCAGCGGAGATTCCTGCTGGTCGAACCGGGGGTCGTGCCGCAGGAACTCATTGAAAAGTGCATCCGTCTTCTCGTCAATGCTGTAGTCGCGGCGGCGGAGACGAGGTCTGTGAGGACTTGGGGGCGGTGGGATATGCTTCATCAGAGGAGTTATGAGGTGTGATTGTGACACTGGAGGTTTCTGAGGATGAAGGGATTTCAGAAGTTGATATGGTTCTTGAAGGGTAAGAGCCTGGCTGCCGGTGTGAGCTGCCTGCTTTAGTTTCTCTGTCTCTGTGCCATCGGCCATCTGGTCCTCCAGCTCCTCCTGAAACAGTTTGGCCTCGATGCTCTCGCACACTGAACCTTTTCTTCCAGAGCTGGTGAAGAACAACCTTCTCTCCGATGCCGTCTTTCCTCTTGGGGCTCCTGGAGTCCCAAAAAGCCGCATCTCCTCAGGGGCCCTGGATGGTGCTTCAATAGAGGCGTAGCCACTGTCCATCTGAAGGAGCTTCCTGTTACTCGCCTCACCCTCTCCTCCAGCTCCACTTCCCACCTCACTGTCACCACCTGACGCTCCTCTGATTCCTCCCTCCAATACCTCTCCTTCCCCTTCTCCTTCAGGGTCATCATCCAGGTCCTGGGACAAGCAGCTGTCCAGGCCGGAGCGAGCTCCCGCACCACCAAAGGATGACACGCTATCGGCATCACTGCGGATGGACTCCCGATCTGTGCTGCTCTGGTCCGAGGAGGCGTATTGCTCCAGGGAGGCCCGCAAGCTCCAAATGTCTCTGTACAGCGAGGGAGGGGCCTCCAAGCTCTCCTGGCGAATCATGAAGGAAAGAGACGAGCCGGAGTCGGCCCTTTGCCTGGCCTCAGCTCCCAGCACCACGTCTTCTCCATCATCTACGTCTGCCTCATTCTTTCTCCTCACATCTACTGCCACACCCTCTGTTTTTATATCATTAGTTTTCCTCAACATGTCTTCAAACCTTTCGCCTGCTTCTTGTTGTGCCCCAAATAAGTTGTCATCCTCTGTCGATTCCAGCTTGACTCCCACAGCACCTGTTCTTACAACTGCACCTAGTTCTGTTTCAGTTTCCACTCCTGTCCCGTTGGTCATGGCCTCCTCCTGTCTCTCAGCACGACAGTCGTCTGCTTGCGAACAGGTTTCCTCTCTCCTGGTGCTGCTGCCACCACCTACCTCCACCATGGCCTCCAGGTTTAGCCTGCACAAATATAGAACAGTCAGTTAATCAGCAGTTCAGGGAATTTTTATGGTGCTGGTCATGGAATGATGGGAGAGGATGTACCTGCTGAGGAAGACTGAAGACGTGGGTGTAGTAGTGTGGTGAGACAGAGACTCTGCAGAGAGGGACTGGAGCTCACTCGTCAGAATGGGAGTGTGTGGAAAGAATTCAGTGACCTCATCTTGGAGAGATAAAGACTCATCCTCGGTGTGATCGGTGGTTTCACTGGCAGCTCTCTGTCTCTGGAAGGGCCTTCTCTTGGGCGAACCTAATTCCCATGAAAACAAAGCCGTGAACTTGATGCTTTTCACCTTCTCATTAACTCACATGCTCATCTTTTACAAAGCTCACCCACAAACCAAATTGTACTCAGGCATTCGTGACATTTATCCAAACCTTTGGCATCCAGACTGGCAGCGCGGTGACTGCTGTCGAACTTCCACCTCCGAAAGAAAGGCCCCGCCCCCTCCAGACTAGCATGGCGCCGCAGCTTAGAGAAGAAATGCAGAACTGAAGTCTGGCCCTGAGCTAGAATCAACTCTCCTCTCATACTCCTTTCGCTCTCAGCCTCTCCCCTGTCGCAGATAGCCTCCATCTGACATGAGAAATGAAAAGAGAAGAGGAAGGAGGGAGGGAGGTGATGAGACATTAAGGAGAGGTTGAGGCAGATAAGCTGAGATGACTCGTGACGGGCAGAGGGAAGGACCTCAGGGGACAGCAGTTTGTCTTGTCACTCATCTGCAGTGGTGACTGATGCCACAGTGCATCAGCGGGTTTGAGATCTTCACAGCTGTGTGTGTGTGTGTGTGTGTGTGTGTGTGTGTGTGTGTGTGTGTGTGTGTGCGTGCAATTACTGTGGAAGGGTATGTCCATCCATCATCCATCATCCATCATCCATCATCCATCCTCCATCCTCCATCATCCATCAATCCATCAATCCATCAATCCATCATCCATCATCCATCATCCATCCTCCATCCTCCATCATCCATCAATCCATCAATCCATCAATCCATCATCCATCATCCATCATCCATCATCCATCATCCCTCATCCATCCATCATCCATCATCCCTCCATCATCCATCATCCATCATCTATCATCCATCATCCATCATCCATCATCCATCATCCATCATCCATCATCCATCCTCCATCATCCATCCTCCATGATCCGTCATCCGTCACCCATCATCCATTTCAAAATCCTCAAAACAAAGTGGAAAATGTGTTGACACTCACTGTCTGGGACCGTGTGTGCTGTGCTTTCATGGCTGATGAGGTCTGTCTGAGTCCCTGGTCCAGGATGATGGAGTGGTGAGGGTCACCTGGCAGCCCTCCGCTCAGGCTCTGTCCCAGCCAGTCAGGGACTCTTCTCTCAGACGGCTGCAAATGGAAATCCACACGACAACACAAATGAGAAAACAAGATTCTGTGTCTTTGTTTGTGTGAATTACTCAAAGTCAAATTAAAAAGCAGCCGTCGCGATTCAAATACCTGGTAGATGGTGAGGGGCAGTTTTGGAGCTGCGGTCTCACAGATGTTGACCATGCTGCTGTCCGCTGAGTCACACTCCATGATGGTGAGGATCTTTAGGTCACAAGGGGCCGGCGGCAGGTGAAGGTGGGTCAGTCGGGCCTTTTTCAGGTGGTGGAAGTCTCCCTCAGTGAGAGTGTACCTGAGGAGGAGGAGAACTCATGAATCCTCAAGCTGTTTTATAGAATAAGCTGTAAAACTGGATATTAACCTAGACGAACTGTACCTGCGTCCTTTTTCCTGTGTCGTCTTCTCTTGTTCGTAAAGAGCAGACTCATTGAAGGAGACTCTGCGACCAGTCGACCCAGTGGAGACGAATCGCTCTGACTCTCCCTCATGGCAGCTGGAAGCTGAGAGAGCATCTGATTCATCCAGACGAATGGTGATCTCTGAGTGACAAAGGACGACAGGAATAGGAGTTAGTGACGACAGTAAACCGGATCACATACAGAGAACAAACTTTTTTTCAAACACAGCTCTGACCTTGGGTGGGCTGAGAATCCTCAGCATAAGTGGTGTTTGTCTTCTCAGGGTCATCGCTGGCTCTGAAAGACGAACATCAGTTTTACTCTTTGTGCTCTCTTAGTGGACATCACAGCCTTCGGTCTCACATCTGCTTTCATCTACTGCTGCCATAATCATGTTGACTGTAATCCCGCCCCTGCGTTTGCAGACGAACCAGGCCTGCCAGTCCCACGCACTGTGCTGCTCAGCAGGCAGCGGCACCCACCTGGAGTAGCGTCGTCCACCCATGCAGCAGTGGTGACAGAAGAGGAGCAGCAGGGAGAGCAGGACCAGTGTCCCCCCGGCAAAGACACTCAGCAGCACCAGCAGCAACACATAGTTCTCCACCTGGCCCGCTGACACAGGCACCTCCTGAGGGTGGGGGGGGGGGGCAACCGGGAAAAGAGGTTAGGAATGTGCAATTTAATTTAATACATAAACACAACCCTGGTATACTAGTAATATAGATTAACTGCTGCCAACATAACAGGCAGAGAGAAACATGAATTAGACAAAAAATAATTTTAAGTTAAATCATGAAGGGTCTTTTGATGAAGCTTCTCGGCTGAGGATAAAAGATGAAGTCTGTAACACCACACTGTGCATGAATTCATTGATTTGATTGGGTAACAATCAACAGCAGCAGACATGTTTGTCCCATTTGAATCTCATCATTTTATAGTTTTTGTCCCACGAGAGCAAAAGATACAAGAAACCAATTTAACTTCAAGTGACTCACTTATCCCTTCAATACAAAAAAGGATTATACAACAGATGTTGATAGATTTTAAAACCCCACTCCTTCACTCCTCCCACCTGCCCACCAACTCAAGAGATTCAAGTTCGTAAAACACATTCAGGTAAAGGGATATTGATAATCTAATTATTGATAATTTATCAAGTCTTTGTATTCCAGTAATATGTCAGATAAGAAGTGAAAGAAAATCCTGCTGTAGCTGGACAATGAAGTTCAGTCTGCTCTTTATTATGGGGTTGCCTTGAGAGTTATAAAAATCAAAATCCACATTTTAACGATGGCTTTAAATTTTTTCTCTGGCTTGATAAAATACATAACATCTATCACCTAAATAGAAAAGGATGATGGAGGGTGTTGAGTCTCTCCCAGTACATTTGCTTTAGACACAGAGAGCTCAGGTCATTTTGCTGAACTTTTCCTCTTCATTGAGATGAGCTTGCCTCCGTCAGAATGAAGGTTTCACATTCTCAAACACTAACAGGCACATGAGGTTTGTTAATCTGTGGCTTTTTAAACTAAATGTATTTCAGACTTTTGCCAGTTTTCTGACTTCTCCCCACTGCTCACTCTTTCTCTGGATGATGATGAGTGATGTCAATATTAACTCACATGCCCTCGTACTTTTGTGTGTTTATAGCTTTTATTCATTACTATGTTTATGCTTCATCTCTTTGAGGGAGAGGAGGGAATCCTAAAGCCCATTTGTTAACTCACTAGGCCTTAAAACCACAACACACACACACACACACACACACACACACACACACACACACACACCACCCTAACTCCCCTCACTGACAAGAATAACATTTCAAAGCCACACACAGTATTTACAATAAATACCTCTATCACTGCCAATATCAGTCAAACCATGCTACTTACACTTCCCTGTTAATGTTTGAGCTGTACAACATCAAATACACTTCCATTACCTGTATTCAGAAAGAACAGCCAGGGCTCATAAATCATTCATTTAATAGTGCAATAAGTTGGAAGCTTGCATATCTGTTTTCATGTTTTGTTGTTAGTTGTGCTGGGACAGAAATTGATTCTTCTCTCTTTGAGCTACATAGCAATGAGTCACAATGTCGCATTACGCTGTCAGCTCAGCGCCGGAATATTTCATCAGTATTGGAATTAACCCTGGAAGACTCTCTTAAGTCTTTTCCTCTTCACAGTGATTCTTATCCACACTAACCCATACACATCCTGCCAACACACACACAGATAAAACAACTGCTCTCCTCTCTACTCCCTCTGATTAATACCCCCAGTCTTGGCTGAGTGAGCCTGGGGATGCTAATCGAAACGTCAGCGGGACCCTTAATTCAATTTCTCAGCTCTTCTCAATGAGGGGGAAATGAGCCCTCCGCAGGCTAAAAATGGAAATCGGAGGAGGATGCAGATGCACATGAGCAATCCCCAGACTTTTCTGGCTGTTCTTCTGATGTCAGTTTCAAAAGAGAGTGAAAATAATAGAGCTATTTTCACCCCCACAAATGGAATATGTATCTATTGCAACACTTAGCATTATAAATGTGAAAGGTTGTCATTATGCACTGCTTTGCAGAAAACCGAGGAGTGGAGGAGCTCCTCGTGTAGCACAGGCCAACCTTTAAATTATTTGACTTTAACAGGAACAGCAGGAAAAGCCCCAAGCCTGCAGCTGATGGAAGATCCACACACTGCAACTAATCTGCCCACTTGTTTTCCAAGTTATCATTTTGTAAATCAGATGTCAATAGTATATTTTTCAGTTTATCTGCGACGGCTGTGTGAGTGAGAATCCTCAAAAGCAGCTGATTTTATGGTGACTGCTGTCACTGTAAAGGTGCGTCCATGAGACACAGCATCTGTCTGTCAATCTGTTTCAGCTTCAAGTTGCTGCTCGGAGGAGACGATGCTGCTGAACAGAAGCTGTTGTTTCCTGCCTCTGAACTCACAGGATTGTCAGGACTATGTGCATAGGAGTGAGTGAATCTTTTTTTTTTTATTCAACCTCAAACCTGCTTCAGGCCAGAACATTAAACTAAGCACAGTGTCGCACACACAGAGAATATTTTTACATTCAAAGCTGTGGTGGCCTACATTCAGATGAAGCCTATGGGGAGATTCAGTATAATGTGTTTAAAGCTGCACATACAGCATGCGTGTGTGAGACTCTCACGGTATAATGGCAACACGCACACCTTGATACTCACAGTTACGTGCACACACACACACACACACACACACACAAAATTTGCCAGAGCTTCTGTAACTTAATGAAATCTGCTGTTTTTACAAGCTCAGCCAAACAGGAGGAACAACACGATCAATCAGCTGGAGCAGGGGAAGGCTCTGGCCAGGCTTCAGGCCATGTTTCTAACACACTCAGTATGCAGGCAAACGACAGTCAATTCTCCCCGTGCACAGACAGCTTTAACTGTCAGATAATCACTGCTGCTGGATCGGATGTCCCCACTGTCCTCCTGAGGCTGACACAAAGCCAAGATCAGGCTGTCCTCCACCACTGCTACACCTGAGACCTGCTGCTCTTTTTTGTACCATTGGTTGTTGCATTGGTCTTTCTTTCTATTTTTACATATGTATATTTCATTTTCATTACACAGACCAAAACATCTACAGATAACTAAAGAGATAACTGCAACATTATATCCCACATCAGTCAATCATTCAGTGAAAATAAAGCATATGGTGAGGAACAGCCAGAATCACGCAAAATTTACAATCATTCGGGGACGTTATGGTGCCGTTTAATTGGGCCAGAGGTGCTCTCAGTTTTTTCAGGATAACCTTGCGTGTTGCTCCGAAGCCGCTCAACTAACAAACACAAGGTTCTGCTGTACAGTGTGTGGCAGTGCAAAAGAAGCTACAGAGCAGCCAAACCGGGCAACCAGTGCGTCAGGTTCAATCTGTAGATCAAACATTTTAGCATAACATTTTAAAATTTCAGAATACAGTCATCTATGCATGACTTCAAATTGTTTCAACTGCCACCTGGCATTAACTGAGCCTCCATCCCCTCCCCCTACATCTCATCTGACTCCACACCAAGATTGTATATTTTCTGATGAAACAACAGACTTATTAGCAAAATGTTTGGAAACAATATGTTTCGAATTAGGATGTTGTTTTATGAAAGCATAAATAGAGTGTTCCTTTGGTGGGTTTTCAAAGTTTTTGAAACAATTTTTATCAAAAAAGTAGCAGAAACAGTGTGATTGAGAAGGAAGAAGGTTTCTCTTTCCTGTAAATACAGGCCTGATCGGAATGAGATGGAATCAAATTATGATTAAAACGAGAATATAACGAGAACTTTAGGCACCATTTTATCTTTTTTTGTTTTTAATTTAAGTGAATTTTGCAGAACAAAAAAAGAAAACAACAACATGCATTGGATAATCCTAAGTGGAAAACTGAGCTGAAAGAAACCGATTTCATACTGCGTTCGATTCCAGTTGCAACCACTTGGGTGTATCAGGGAGCTCATTTGAATGGGGAAACTGATCTTGCCAATAAATAAGAGCTCTTGCATTAGCTGCCAAATAGTAATGGTGGAAGCTTCTTTGGCTCGTTGCTGCATTGGTTGAACTTGAATCGTTAAGTGTTGTGAAGGACTTGTTTTAACAGGAAGTAGCAGATGTGTGGACAGCATGTGTTGATGGTGTCGGAGGCAGCAGTACTCACTGTGGAGTTCTCAGTCAGACTTGTCAGAACAGGCAAATCATTGCTCATGGTCCAGGTCAGCGTGAGTGAACCCTGCAGAGGAAAGAGAAAGGGATGGAGGTTGTGTTATCCCATGAAAAGACTCAAACAATAAGTGAATCAATCCACAAACATATATATACTGTATATATATATATATATACACACACACATGTTTTCCTCTGTATGTTAGAGCTCCATTATTGTTAACATTCAAATGCATCAGTGAAGCTATACTGCTGCACTGTGACATTTTCTTTCACTACGATGAACATGGGAACTGTAGTTTATTTTCAATCTGTCCTGCACAGTGCACACACATCATGCTGCTGCTTTTGAGCCTTCATGAGAGCACAAAATGTGTATTCATCCACAGATGAAAATAGTCTCCAACAAATGCAGTATTTACATTTGCTAAAAATATGAATAGAAATAAAGTTCTTTCTAAATTATTGTGTCATAGGTACCAAATAAGTATTATCAGTTATGACTCATTTCCTATCGGCTGCTGTGAAAACGCTTGTTTCAGACAAGGTGGTTTTTCAGGCTATTTTTTCATTCTGATATTCTTTAGAAGTCAACACGCCTAAATGTCACTACTTAGCTGGATGAAGAGTTTTGATTCAACAATCCCAAGCAGAAGATCACCCTGATGACACTTCAGAGCCACAGAGAACATCACTCAACAGCCTGAACATGTGTAAATTTGACGTAATGCCCCTTTAACATACCAGACTGACGTAAACCAAACTGCTCTCTGGTCTGAACGCTGTGAAAAAAAACCAATGTGATTAGAAATAATCTGACATCTCCTGAAGATGAACTCTTACAGTGTGATAACCAAGAATCCCTTTTAATAACATCTCATCTAGACTTCAGTTAGTTTCTATAAAAGGAAATATTAATGTGTAAGTGTGTGTGTGCTTGACAGTGAGACAAAAAGATAAGTGTACTAACAGACAGACAGAGGCAGAGGAGCTGACAGTACATGATTATTTACACAGCGTGCGGCTTGTGTAACATCAGTCCATGAATGCTTTCCTCACACACACTGCCAATGCTGCACACATTCCCTCACCATGTGAGAGTCATGTTTTATGTAATGTCTCACACATACCAACATCTCAAGGTAAATGTGATGTGGACAAAGCTCTGAGCAGAGATAACGCTCCGACAATAGAGAACAACACACACACACACACACACACACACACA